ACCAGGGGGGGGGGGGGGGGGGGGGGGGCATGTCTCTCACTCATTATACCCATAGATACCTAGACACATACAGAAAAGATTCTCGCATAAATACGAAGTTCCCCACATTTGCAAAAAACTGTATAATATATAGATGTATTTCACTGTGCAGGGCAAAGAGGCAGCATCTGCAAAAGGTCCACCCAACCATCTTATACTTGTTTTGCCTGCACTCGCTTGTACCTTCCTCTGTCACAACTGGCATCCCTACCAGTGCTTCTCAAGGTCACATTGCATTCTATACAGATGTATTACCAAGCAATACTGGCCCAAAAATCATCTAGATTTGGCTGAAAAAGAGGGCACCGGTGCTGCAAAACAATACCATGTGAGTGGAATTTACTGAAACTGGAGTAGACAGAATCTGGAGCAGCAGTGCATAGTAACCAATCAGCTTTGATCTTCAGCTTGTTCAGCTAAGCTTTGATTGTGACAGAAGCTCATTGGTTGCCATGCACAGCTGCTTCAGATTGTCTGGTCTTAGAAAACTGATCTTAATGTGTTCCTGAAGATGAAGCTCTTCTGTATTAAAATTCTTGTCAAATTTATGAACATTTTTCCTTAAAACATCAGTGCTCAATCTCTACCACTCACATTTTTATTGTCGTAGGGGGGTTATTTGTAAAAGCTGGGAAAAAGAAACCCAGAATAGTAGTAACATTGTTGCCCAGTGAACAAATTGTATTTATTTTTTTCCTGAGAAAATTAAGAATGGAATCTGCCTCCATTCATATTGCAGTTCAGGTTTAAATCTTATGAATTAAAGATGGCTATTGACAGTGGAATTTCAACATAGCTGGTCTTTACAGCTTTCCAGGCTCGTGGTCCCGTCTCTGCATGTCTTCTTGCCATTCCACTTGCCTCTAGGACTACCATCTGATTCCTCTAAACAATTTAGTTCCCCCACAGTGAGGGACTCCACCTTGACTAAGGCTGGGCACACACCTTACAACCATCGCAAGACTTTTGTCTTGCGATGGTTGTAAGGTACTTTAAAAAAACGTATGATCTGCCTATCTTGCATGGGCAGATCGTACTTGCGATGATTGCAAGATATGCCCCCTGAGGGGCGGGCTTCCGATGACCGCAATGCCGAACGGGCACTGTGCGCTTGCGCACACCGGCCCGTCCGGCTTTTATCTTATGAACATGCTACACACCCGCCGAACATCGTATGATGATCGGCGGGTTTTAAACATGTTCGTAAGTTTAAAGTCGTGCGACCTTACAGTAGTAGAGGTCGCATGGCTTCCACACACCTTACGATAATCGTACGATCGCTGGATTTCCCGTGATTATCGTAAGGTGTGTGGGGACCTTAAGCCTCCTAATACAGACTCCAAGGGACACCATCTAGATGTTGCAGTGCCTTCGCCACTGGGGGTATAAGCCTTGCTCAAACAGTTCTTCCAAAGAACATTGTCTTGGAAGCTATCTCTCCTTTAACAGTAGAATCTGGGTCTGCCTCAAATACTGCACGGAGAGCAGGGCGAAAACATTCTTGGAGACCCTTGTGCCTCCCCAGGTTACTGGGGGTATAAGCCTTGCTCAAACAGTTCTTCCAAAGAACATTGTCTTGGAAGCTATCTCTCCTTTAACAGTAGAATCTGGGTCTGCCTCAAATACTGCACGGAGAGCAGGGCGAAAACATTCTTGGAGACCCTTGTGCCTCCCCAGGTTGTCAGAAGGTGGATTACCATAGTCTCCTGCTGCAGGTACTCTCTGCTTTTTCTAGATACCTTGCCTTGTCCTGCTCTATAGGATATGCTTTCAGGGCTTTGGCTAAGATTCCTGTCCCTCTCTTCATAGCTGTTGATGCTCTGTAGTACCACAGCTGTGGTTGGTGTTAGGCAGGCTCCAGAGTATTTTTTGCAGGCCCAAGTGTCACCTAGTGTTAAAAAGGGTGTCTTGGTTTTATCCTCTATGTCCTCTTGGTGATTCCATCTCACCAGTTTGGGGCCTAATCTCAATTTTAGCCTATAGCCATGCCTACTGGACATACTCTTCCCTCTGTCCTTGACTTTGGAACTAAACACTTTCTCTACTGTATGTATAAAACTGTCCTGGATAGTTTTATGTTGGCTAATGTTTATCAGAATTAGCAGTGAATATGGTAAAGACAAAGATTGATCACATGATTCAGGTTCATTTGGAGTAATGTTCATACATAAAGTTAACGTAAGTAAATGAGGCTATGGGAGTCAGTTGTGACCAAACACTTGTGAAAATTCACATTACCGCAGCTATAGAGTTTTTAAACTCTGTAATATACTGTATACTGTGTAATGTATCATCTACAATAATTAATTACACTTTGCAATACTTCTAAATTATATAGTGAGAAAACTGGTTGGAGGTGTGACCCTTTTGTGCAGGGGTGTCCATATATTCTGAGGCATTTAATATGAGATGACCTCTATTCGTTGGGATACGTTCATTTATTTTGTGAGGCATTTGGCTTCTGGTAGAATGTTATTTCAGACCTCTTCCACATAGCTTAATATTTTAAGTGAAATGTCTAGTCACAAAAATGGTTCTACAAATTGTTTAACTGGAGACTGTATATGGTCCGATGGGCTGCAATCTGATGTCAGATATCATCTTTCCCAAAAAAAATA